ACCATATCAATATCTTCCTGAGATAGATCGATAAGCGGCAGCATTTGTGGAGTAATCTTCGTGCTATCTTCAGTAATCAGATTGATTGGAATACTGAACGACTGGTGTTTGCCCAGAGTCTCAGCTAGTGCGGCTAATGAGGGAGTATCAAATATTTCTCTGACACTGGTATCCAATCCGATATTCCGCAATTGTGTTAGCATTCGTATAATCAGCAAAGAATGGCCACCAAGTGCGAAAAAATTATCGTGTCGACTAATACGTTCAATACCCAGCAGTTCACTCCAGATTTCTGCCAGTTTTTCTTCCATCTCACCCCGCGGTTCTTCATATAATTGACGAGCAAATGCTTCACCGTCCGGTGCTGGAAGCGCACGTCGGTCTAATTTGCCATTGGGTGTTAGTGGTAAAGACGATAGACAAATATAAGCCACCGGCACCATGTAATCAGGCAGTAACGACGATAGATAATTTCGTAGATTCTGAGCCAACAATGTGTCTGCGTCTGCCACTACATAGGCGACTAATTGGGCATCAGAATCATGCTTGTTTTTCAATGATAAAACAACCGCTTCACGCACCGAAGGATGCTCAACTAATTGTGCCTCTATTTCACCAGGCTCAATTCTAAAACCGCGGATTTTTATCTGATGGTCGGTGCGTCCCATATAAACTAAATTGCCGTCAGGTAGATAGCGTGCTCGATCACCGGTACGGTACATACGTGCTGCTGGATTCTCATTGAATGGATCAGGCAAAAAGCATTCTGCAGTAAGGGCAGGTCGGTTGAGATAGCCACGGGCTACACCAGCGCCACCAATATACAGTTCTCCTTCGGCTCCCAATGGTACTGGCTCACCTTTTGAATCCAATAGGTATATCCGTACGTTAGACAGCGGACGACCGATGGGTACCCAAGGATTAGCAAAATCTACCGGACATGACCATATTGTAGCCCAGATAGTTGCTTCCGTGGGGCCATAGATGTTTAAAACCTTTGTATGGGAAGCAGCAGTTTTTAACAAAGATATTGGAGGTGTTTCTGCGCCCAAAATCAACACCTGCAAGCATTTCAAGTCAGTAAGGTTTTGTGTATTGCGGAGCAGAGCTGGCGGTA